TGATGGTAGTTTGAAGTGAGAAGTCAACTGCCAGTTAATAGACTTTTTTGCCGTATGAATATACGTTGCCCAGGGTGCACCACGTGGAGGTAAGTCTATCGCACACCCCGCATTAATCTATATTGTATAGTGGAAATTGAAAGCAATTATTTGTCTTCCCTTGTCACATCAAAGTATCACACAAAACTAGAAAATATGCATCCCACTTAGAGTTCACAATTCCTCGTTTTAACAGGGAATTAGTTTTGATTTTTTTTCCATCTATTAACCAACTGCCACCTTAGTTTGAATAACGATATATTTCTTCTGTTTTGAGAAAAAGCTAAGCGCTTGAAATCATCATCTTCTTCCTTGAGTTCTATAACTTACAGAATTCCTTATAATTAACTTCTATGACCTATTTATTTTTTATTTATTTAAACTGACAGCTATGACGGTACCGGATGCTGTCTCAACTGAGCCAAATTATTGATTAACAGCTTGAGTCATCTCATTTACTTTCTATTTTTTAAAATTATTGCTTCCCTCTTGATATCGAAATAAAAAATTTTCTTTTTATCCAACATTGTTTGATATCTCTCGATTCCAATTGCGCACATTTCCCACGTTTTTTTCAGGCAACTACAAGATATCTGCTTTCCTTAAGTCGTTTCTCACGTCAATATGAACCGATCCCTATTAATAGTCTCTTGTCGAATAGATTTGTTTCTGATCACTAAATTCCTTCACGAATATCTAAACTTTTCCAAGCAAGTGTGTACTGAATAAATAAATATATATATAGTTATTGCACTTTTTGAACCGATTAGGCTTCAACTATCTCCTCCTGTTTTTTTATAGTTGCTAAGATCTAGGAATCCTAATTACCAATTCGCCTAAACCCTGGTCGTAAAAGTACCATCATTAGGGTTAATAAATCAGATCCAGGTTGGCAAGGTTTTCTTACAGCTGGGGTTGATGTTTGACAACTTGGAAACAAGTGGTTTTAACTGGTGTCTTAGTGGTTGATCTACTTTATTAAAAGCTCAAACAAATCAGGTTTATTCGGGTGGGCGGTTATTTGGTGCCAAAAGTAATTTCATGAAATGGAATTTTCCGGTTAACCGCTCTGAGGCGACACTTTGGAAAACCCCAGTACAAACCCTCACGTTAACTGTTCTTTTGCCTACCATACTCTAGCCATTGCTTCAGTAAGAACGAATAAAGTAGATTTGGTAGATTGTTCTATGTTTACAATCATTCTCTTCTTGGACTTGTGGATATTTTAATTACAAATTTTCGTATGACCTCACCTAGTACGCCTAATTAATTTTTCGATTCTTCCACTTTTCCAGATCGCCAATCTTCTGGAGGACGTAGAATCTGAACTCTTCGGTCGGTCGTCAATGCCTTCTGATGTTGGAACAATAGAGAGTAAGGTTATTGATCGTATCAATAGACCGGTGGCTGCAGTGAAACGCCAGTTATTTCGAGAGAAAGTTGTTCGTCATGCCCCACCTTGTCTCCTTCTAATGTCTCTTCGCAAGTACCTCGAAGAAGCTTATGATGTCACTAGCAAGTAATTAACCCAGATCTTGTTAATAATATTTTACGGCTTTGTTTTAATTAACCTTTTTGCAATAATTATATTAAATCCAATTATTCACTCGAAATTGCTCAGTTCCAGTTCATATCTGTCTCTTATGTTGAGGAAAGAGATGGAAAGCGACTTACCTCCTCCTCCTCCTCCTTCTGAATTGAATCATTTCCTTTTGAAATCTCCGTTCTATTAAATTGTTTGAAATTTGATTTGAACTATTTAACTATTTTCTGATTTTAATGTTACCGTACTAACTCATTATAGTTAATATGTACGGGCTTTGACCTTGTCTGAGACTTTCAAAGAGCAGACTAAGGAATTTCACAACTTGTAAGGAACTGCAATAGTCAGTGCCTCGTTTTCTTTTTGTTTTCTTCCCTTACTTGTCAATATTTAGGGGGGGGGGGGGGGGGGGGTAGGGGATTCGGGTCATTAACTTGCTCACTAGCCTTATTTTGTGACGGCATTCACTTTCTTCATGCGAGAGAGTGCTTTAACTATTTCGCCTTGAGAAAATGGCACTTTTGTTATTTACGTCTGCTCAGTTATATTGTTGTAAGTCCCAATTGGGGTTTGTTTTGAGCCTTAACTGGCCTAGGTGTTGTTCCGCTTAAAAGAGGCTTCCGAGTGCCGAATGGTGCTTCGCGTCAGCAAACTTAGCTGTGTCTCTGTCTTGAAACTCTCTACAATAGAGCTATCCATTATTATTTGTGGCGTGAATGGCCAAATTCTTTGGTCACGCACACTAAACATCGTATGCATTTTAGGAGACCTCACGTTTTTTTCTGCCTTTCTCTCATTACCACACTTCACTGCACATTTTATTTCACTCAACCCTATTATCAAATAGGGCTTCTTTTCGGTATAGATTTTAACTCCGTGGATTTGTCACACCCCGCCTGGAGGCACTTATTTCACACAGGTTTCTTCCCGAGAAATGATTGCCGAAGTTATGGTTTTATGTGAAACGGGGTGCCAAGGTTGTGCGAGAGAAAGAGCGAGTTGTTCTTTTATTTTGACCCACTTAGAGGAGGGCCTTATTAAATTATCAAATGTGTTCTAGTTATGTGCCACCTTGAGTTGGGCTATCTTATTTCCATTTGCGAGATTTGATTTAAGGATTTATTACTTCTACTGGTTAGCGGTTAAGCTGCAATACATTCTACTTAATTGAACTGTCAGTAAGTTGGGTTCAACTAGATCGATCTCCAGAAGTAGTTAATTCTTATGCAGAGGCTTTCTATTGTATGACCGTATTGCTTCTAGCACAATTTTGAGAAATAAACGTGATCTCAATATGGATAACTGCACATTGGCCAAACTCCACGAAGGTGGCTTTAATATTCAATTTGTGATGATGGTCAGTACTGTGGGCACCATGGGCTCCTGTTGTAGTCTAATCAACTCTTATTAGTCCGCTGTAAGTTAGGGGAATCAGTGCATGTTTCGTCCAGTCACTTTCTCATCAACCAAGTCGGCTGAAAATGTTGGATTAGTAAACAAATTTACCTGAAGTTAGTTAGCTTACCAGAATTTATCGAACACTCAAAGCATGAATGTTATCATAAGTGAATTTGCGTTGGGGCTCCTTAAGGTGTGTTCTAAACTGTTACAAATTCTCAAATCTATTTATTTTTTTGCTTCCTAGCAAACTGGGTTCCTACTCGCCCTCTTCAGATGACAAGCATTACCAACGATTTATTCCGCCGCCCTCAGCTCGGACTCTCAATTCTGGTGTGCCGCATCGATTGATCGAAGTCCCCCCACTCGTCGCTCAATGTGCCCTTGATCCCTCCTGGCCACTTGCCACCTCAAGTCATATCACCTCATCTTCCATTTCAAACAGCACGATACTCCGGTTAGCTCTCCAAGTCCATAGGCAACTTCTCACTGTTGATGGAGTAGATGATGAATTGGGCAATTCATCTGCCAACAACTTGCCGTCGAATGCTGATCAATCTACCTCTGTGCAGTCCGCTTCCTCGCGTCCTGCAGTGGGCCCAAGTGGTGATGGTCCACATCAGAAATCGTCTGTGGTCGCAACTCCTACGCATAGAGACGGTGAGAAGATTCGAGATAGTTTTTTTATTCTTCTGATTACCGGTTGCAATGATCAGCATTATCTATCCCGCCGCTAGAGCTTTAATTCTGCCTACCTGTTTGACTCTTTGGAGCTGACAGTGCAATCGGAATTCGTTGAGCAATTAACTATGCTTGCTGCTAATAGGAATAAATGTTTGGGAATTAGTTGCGATGATGTTAGGCCACTTTAATCATGACCACTATCTGTGTCGGTCAGGATGCACTCATCAGTAATTTGAATAACGGTATATTCCCTAATTAATTAGGCTATACTGCGCACAATTCGCCTTTAATATGCTAATTATTTGTCGTTTTTTTATTCTCGAGGTTGGTGAGGCTATTGATTGCCCTTTTAAGTAAACCTAGTCTATTTTCATTAATTCTGTTATATTTCAGTAATCGATGTATGTTTTAAAATTATTCAAGTCTGTTTGTCCCTCCTGTTTACGCTTTTAAGGCTAGCTAAATCCATCCAATGATTAACTACTGACAAACTCAAGAATAGCGGTTCCCCTGAGCTTAATTTGGTCAAATTTTATAAAGTAAAAGCTGCAGTTGTACTTTATAGGCTTTTTCTATCACATGACAACTTCTGTTGCCCCCCCCCCCCAATATCAGCTGCACTCTTGACGTGTTGTGAGTTGGAAGGCCTCTTTTGCACCCAGTTAGCTTCCTTTAAAATC